TCTTGTTTTCTTTACTGTTTTTTTTTTTAAATCGCACGACAAATATCGCGTACAAAATCGCACTTGTCGAAGGGATGATCCTGCAAACTTTTCTCGTAATTCTTGTATACCAACCGAACTAAACGGTCACCGTCGCGAACAGACGAAGAGGAAAACGATAGTAAACTGAATTATACAAGCCATTGCGATTAATTAGCTTTAATAGAAATTATGCTGAGAATTGTAATTATAAACGATCGTTAATCGCCAGTTGAGTGAGACCGAGGAAAAGGAGAAATTTCGAAGAAGAAAGCGAAAGAAAGAGAGAGGAGGTCATGGGAAAATGTTGGGAACAGTTTGCGGGCAACGAAGAGGAGTGAGAATGAACAACGGGACAGCGGCAAGGGCTGAAGGCGGGAAAGCGGACGAAGGATGAGTCCGGTTGCCGTTGGCGCGGAAGAAAAGAGAGTCACGAGATGCCTGGTAAGTTTGTGTGAGGGACCCAGTAGGAGAGCTGCGGGGAAGTCGAGAGAGATGCGGTGGAAGCCGGGACGGAGAAGCCGGTGGACAAAGCGAGGGTGGTAGAAAGGAGAACGGGGGTGCAATTGGGGTGGTGGTTTGCGCCGGAACGGAAAAGGGAGGGTGGTCGGAACACCGGAGGATCGGAAGAGAGGAGAAAACTCGCGGTGAGGGTGAGAGGAAAGCCGGCACGCGGATCCTCCCGAAGCACACCGCGCAATCCCGGGGGCCGCTTTAAATGAGTCAGCGTTTTTATGCCCCGCGATGTTGTCAAAGTGCAAACAGCGCTCGATAATATATCATCCGTTGCGCAAGCAACCCCCGCGTTACCCTCGTACACTTGCAACACGTCTGAAGGTAGGCACGCTGTAAGTATTAGGACCTTTTTACACTATGCAGTGCTCATTGCAGCAACGTACAATGTTTTTTTTTTGTGCGCACAACGTCAGCTGGTGCAATCTGTCTTGCATTGCTTAAATTAGAACGCTTGGTAAATAAAAGGCTATATTACATTTGTGCAACAAAACCTGCATGTTGCTTCAATGAGCATTGCTTAATATAAAACGACCCTTATACGGAAGACGTTCATTATATTTCTTACTTGCTACAACGAATATGTAATAAATATATATATATATATATATATATATGTGTATATATATATATATATATATATATATATATATGTATATATATATATATATATATATTCCGTTACACTGTGATCATCATTGTATTGATATTCTAAAGTTCAGGTACACAAAACGAGCAAATTCACTTTGGTATCTTTCGATAAATATATTAACTAAACCGATTAATGTGTACATATTATAATATATAAGTGTCTGCGATATATATTTTATATTATATTATGTGTATGGCACATATGACACGAGTTGCGACTGATTGTGAGTTTTTATTATAACAATTTGCGATTGTGCGGTAAAATAATACAAACGTAAAAGTGATTGCGACTTTTTTAGTGACATGCTAAATAACAGATTTCTGAAAAATATACATATAATTTATTGTATTTTTTGAGAAATATAGAATGTGTTCCGTTTTTTGTGCATATGCGCGCATTTTTTATCCATAGTTCGCTTTACTAGATCATGCGCGCATATGCAAGAAACGGAACGTGTGTAGAAATAGACAACGCACTTCTGTCAGATAGTGCCCGCAGACGTGTCATTAAATGTTACGAGATCAAGGAAAAATTCCGATTGCTAATGTGTTTTCTTGTATGTTACACATTCTGTGATAGAAAACTTTATTTTTCACAAACATAAAAAATCTAATTGGAAGTATCAAATAGACTTAAAACTTTCGGTCATCACACACTACATTACAACGATATATCATTACACACATCGATAAAAAAAAGTAAAATAAACAACGTAATAAAGAAATCTTTCAATAAAAATATGAAATTTAAATAAATATTAAAATATAACCTTGTGAAACCTACATTATTTAACTTTATAAACAATTCTCTCTCTGTTTCTCTCTTTCTTTCGTTTTCTAGCAAACCCGAAGAAGAGAAAATTTAATTAAAGAAACGTCAATTTGATAGAAACAATAGTTGGATGAAAAAAAGAACAAGAAGAGGTAGCTCAGAGGATGATGAGAAGGAAGATTCAAGATGGTGAGGGTGGTTATGACGGCAGACGTCAACCAAGCTGACAGGGTTGCTTTTCCAGCAGAGTACGGTATGGGCAGAGGCATTCAAGCCTGAAAGTCAAAATAACTTCTTAAACTTTAACCTCCGGAGTATAAAAGTGCTATGCCTTTTCTATCTGCTCGTGCAAATCTCGGCATCCGGCTCGAAGTTGACGATTCTTCGGAGTCTGGTCGTGGTGCTGTCGATAAAAACACGTCATATCCGCGGGTGGTTCTTGCGCGAAACCAAGTTCCGGTTTCCGATAAAAACGATTTTCGTCTCATTTCGTCGAATACCGTCGTTTTTTTTTTTTTTTTCGGTATTCGCAGCCACGATGTCACTATAAATCAAAGTCTGTGGTGGTTTGCGCAAATGTATATTACTCAAATTTTTTCAATGCCAATGCATTTGCATTAACTATGATGTAACAATTATAAGAAAAGACTAATGTTATTTTCTATGTATATTTTCTATGTATATTATTTTTTTAACCGTTTGTCAAATGCCTTCTATACTCTCGTTTTTTCAACTGTCAGAGTGCACATAAAAATATATTCACAAAGTAACATGTATTGTTTTGGAGATTTTTCTTTAAAGGGCCAGCGTGTGAAAAACAAAAAATCATTTCTGTTGTGCTTCTTCGCGCGAATTCCTTTCGCGGAAAGAGCACATAATGTGGCCTCCTCAAGGATATACCATTTCGCGGCGCCATTCGTCGTGTAACATATGCTTTTATCTAAATTAAACAGTGTCGGCGCGATTTTCATTTCCTGCCCTGAAGCCGCTGATGTTATCCGTAGGATAGCGCGTCGCGAGAGCGTTGCTAAGGGTCGGTGGAAAGGTTTACCCTCCTACTTCAACCAATTCTCCCTTCTCTCCCCCTTCATTCCTACCTTCTCCTTCCTGTCTTCTACCACCTTACACCCCGTCGTTCAGTCTCTCTGTATACGTATGCACGCGTTGTCTACTATCTCCCCATATTCCACCTAACCAAGCCACCGCGCTTCTCGTTCTTCCTGATGTCACCTCACTCGTTCTTGCGGTTGAAATATCTTCCTTTACATTTGCCGTCTCTCTTTCTCTCTTTCTCTTTCTCTCGCGCGCGCGCATCTCTACCATCAATGTGGCAGCGTTCCGATATATTGCATGCGAAACGCGCGATAATTACTCATCATTAAGAAAGTACAGTAAACAAAAATCATAAAAGCTGTATTGTAAAACATATATAGTATTGATGATAGATTCATATACAACTTCACGCAAGATTAAAATGTAACACATGAAACAACAAGCATAAATAATGCATAAACTTGAAAAAAAAAAAAAAAAAAAAACAGATTTTCTTTGCTAATTGCATTTTCTTCACGAGATGAATATTTTATAAATTTCCGCGGAATATATATCCGCAAATTGCAGTGCGGTAATGTATGTATATATATATTGCAACCAGTGAGGCAATAATTTTTAGCGCTAACGGAAACACAGAGAAGGTGCGGACGCGTGATCACGCCCAAAAAGTTGATTGCAAGAAAAGAACGAAAGAAGCAACGAGAACTTTCTCTCTCTCTCTTTTTTTTTCTTCTCGCAGTATTACTCAACCTTACCCACCCTCCGCGATCGAGCCTTCTTTTTCTATCGCGACGATCTTTGTCTACGGAACAAGCAGGCGTAGAAAAAGAGGATGCTCACAGACGACGAGGAAGCTTCGGCGAGGGGTGGATGTGACCGAGAGTCGGATGTTCGTCCTTGGAATGAGCTAGGAGAAGCCGGTGAAACCCGGTGGCGCGAATCTGCAGACAGCTCCGTGGCATGGACGGAGAATGGTGCCGTGAGGAGAGGAGAGGCAAAGAGAAAAGGAAAAAAAAGAGGAACGTAGAAAAGAGACACGATATGAACAAAAAGACAGTATAGAATCTTGCGATAGTAAAAGAGAAGGAGGAATACCAGAGAGTCCAGGGGATAGACAGACAGAATGATGCTGATCAATCTCTTCGGTTTCGTCCAGAATGAATCTCGAAGTCTAGCGAAGATTTCCGAGCCGATCCGCGCGCGGAAAATTTTTATCTTTTTCTGTCTCTCTCTCTTTCACTCTCCCCTCTCTTTCTCTCCTCTCTCTTCCCTCTGTCCCTTTCTCTGTCTGTCTGGTCTTTATCTAGATGTTAATTTTTTATAATAGAAATATATACTTTTTATAATAGAAATATATTCCACACTGTGTAAATTTTATCTCAGAATTTTGACAACTTAATTTAACAAATAGTTTTTAAACAGCAGATGATTAGCTCGGGTTAAATTAACAACTATGTTTGAAAAAATAATTGTGACAACGAAAAGTTAAGAATTCGACGAATTATTCTATTCGACATTCGAGTTTTTAATGTATAAATCAATTTTAATATTCACATATAATGTGAGCACAAAGACAACATTATGTAGAGTTAGAATAAAAATTCAAGTTCTATCAGACTCGAGCCGAACTTGATTTTTATTTTCTAAATTTTGTGGCTCGATATTCTTTTATCGCGAGATTCCGAAGAAAACCGACACGTAAATTGCCCGAGGTGAAATCTTTATCTGGCGTAATCTATTGTTATATTTGCCGGAGGCTACTAAACATCAGAGATTTGACCCTCTTCCCTCTCTTCTTGCATTTATAACAGCGAAACAGAAACGTGATGGAACGTTTGGAAAAACACTTTTAATTCGACGGTCGAATAGTAAAGACGTATAATCGTCTTAGAGTCGCAGTTAGAGAAGGTCGGTGGACAATAGCGTTACCACTTAGTAACGTGCAGCTCTGAAGACATTTAATTGCAAAGTACTTGGCAATTATATTGTTACAATGTACGATTGTAATTCGTATTCTCTTGTTACAAATCTGCCCGAGAAAATTGCTGAACCGATTTATATCTCACAACCGCAGAGTGGTGCTTCTTCTGGATGGACTAACAATATAGAAGCTGTGGCAGGAATGAATGTTGATATAAATAATCAACAACAGCAACAATCGATAGTGATGCTAATGGAGCAAATGAATCAGCAGAAAGATTTCGAGCAGTCACCATCCAGTTCTCCGACTGACGTCACAGGTATTTATACTGCTATTTGCATTATTTATTTCCGATATTATAGTGAAAAAGTTGTTTTTTTTAACAATCAAAAAAGCATCTGTATATATTTCAAGTAATTGCGCGGTCATATAACTTGTTAACCAACGTATAGTTACAACTTGTGTTCAAGGGCTACGCCCAATTCTGTGAGACTCCGTAGAACTTAATCTCTTGTGTTGTTTGTTTGATTTATTATTATTAAGGTTTTTTTACGTTACTATAGATTTTCAGTAATGATAACAATCATCTAAAATCAAATATCTTTAATGATCTTTTGAAATTGTTTATTGGAACATTGTATCTTCTAATCATTTGACAACTAGAAGATAAAAAATATTTCTATCGATTTGCACATATTGATTAACTCACATTTGTACACATTGGGACCTAGTGTATTTTTACAACAAATTAAATTTTTCGAATTTGTTCGAATTTTATTTTTATAAATTATGACTAATAATAAGCGTTCTGAGTTAGATCTTTAAGTTAGATGTTTTAACGGCTGTAGAAGAAAAACAGCATGCAAATATTATGTATATTTAATTTTATTACGAGAAAAGCATTTAATTATACAGCGTTTTGTATTATTACAGTTTCTTTGGGCGTAGTATCTTTTCTCTTTGTTTCTTCCGTGTGTTTTATTATCTTCTTCGCTACGTATTTCTTCTAGAGTATGTAGCTTTCTGTTACATGAGTTTTTCGGAATCAATTTCAGTCGGAGTAATATTTAGATTATTTTTGCTTTATTTTTGAGAAGAAAATCGATAAAAATCCGAGTTATTTCGAATAAAATAATTGCAGTAACTACTACGTTTCCTATGTTTTTTTTTTTTCGTCGTCTTGTGTAGTCGAAGAATCCGATAAAAAATCTAACACATAATTACATCTATTGATACAGTAGAGAGATTTTCAACATCTCTCGTTTCGCAAATCTCTAGCTTGAAGAAGTCGCATAACTTTATGTAAACATTTTCGATATATCTAACTTAATCTAGAATCTTTGAAGGTGTTAAGGTGCCTTTTCACGCTGACGTTTATTTTATAGCGTCAAAATAGGTCACGTGATCAAAGTTGACGCTAGATTGCAATAAATGTGTGAAAAAAATCTAACATCAAAGTTAGCTTCCAACTTCTTTTTCTTGACGCTAGAGTCAAGTCAAAGTTAGGTGACAACATGCGTCGTTGAAACGAGCGTCCCATGAATTCACACCTTAGGGCGTTGGCTTCAGTATATGTATGTGATAAATAAACCACATTGGTATTGGTAGTGCAGATATGGCTCAGAGTATCTATACAGGTTAGGCTAGTCTACATGCCATTTTTAAAGATCTTCGTAAGCGTTGAGTGGCAAGTCTCTGATTGGTGCCTGACTGAGATTGTAGTATGAGATAGATTAGATATCGGCACTGAGAACATTCTGATTCTAGGAGGCTTGGAAGACGCGAATCTTCTAGTTTATTCTCTTCTCCTATTGTGTAGTTATCTTATTATCAATTGTTACACACTCGCAATCTAATCGCACGCAGCCACGCAGCCATATCCAAAATGGCATATAGACTGACTTATAGTCTACTGAATTACATACATCTGCACACCAACTCTTACTTTGGTTTTGCGGACGGTTGTTTACATTTTTCAATGTTATTTTTCTAAAAACAGAAAAACTTTTGTAATAAACAATGAGAAAATTTATCGCTTTTACTTCACACAAGAAATAAATAACTGTCTTATTGATTCCGTGGTAACAATTTAAAAGTGAAGAAACGCAATCGTGACTCAACTACAAGCGATAAGGAAGCAAATGTCATTCCTGAATCTTTTTATTTTAGTTAATTTTTTTTAATTAAAAATGTCTTTCGTAAATTGCTATCTATATATACAAACTGTCTAACGATAAACTAAACTATTTACAGAATCCATGAAGGGAAACGCAAAGAAAGGGAAACGCAATAGAACAGCTTACACCAGCGAACAACTGATGACACTGGAAAGAGCATTCAGCGGCAGTCGCTATCTTTCTCGATCACGACGAATTGAAATAGCAAAGAGCCTTCATTTGAATGAACGCCAAGTGAAAGTATGGTTTCAAAATCGGCGGATGAAGCACAAGAAGGAAGAACAGGAGGAATGCAAATATTTTGGAAAGGTCAAAAATCTCAAGAGTATGTCACCTCAAGGCACTGAGATTGTGTATCAAACAGTAACAAATGTTCCTCCGACGTATGTACAGAATCTTCCTCCTCCGCCTCCATATCCTTTTCCTCCTCAATGTTCTAACAACGTATTGTCGAACAACATCCCGGCAATGTCTAATTACAAAGAACATTGTTACGACAATATTCAGAACACGGTAAAAGATTGTTATACCAATACACAATTATCTTGTAATAATTCTCTTCAAGATAATTTTCTGCAAACTAATCAAATCTATCAGGAGCAACCGAAAAATCAACAGCAATTGATCTACTCGAATCAAAATCAGACGGACCATTCGTATCAGCAGCAAGCGAACTACAACAACCAGCAACAAAAAAACTGTTTATATCAGTTGGGAGAAAACTCTTCTGAGTGTGCTTCTTATGTCTCTGATTTATCGGAATACAAAACTGGTCAAAATCAGTACAACAACGTTACCAACAACAATGCCGAAACTATTAAAGATATAACTTCTTACGACCTAACGCAAAATAATTCTTATGACAATCTGATAGCAAGCCTGTTGAGTGATCCGACATTTCAAGATCACGAAGATCTGACTGAAATTTTAGAATTGTAAATAACACTCACAAGTGTTCTCTATGTATGTCTTAGTTGTCTTATGTTGTTCTTAATTGCATATATTATAGTTGATAATGTAATTAATAACGCTGCTGTTTTCTGCGAGTATTTTGTCAGTGATAATTTTTCGAGTTGAAAAAGCTAAAACCAAATTTGTAATGTGAAGTCTGCGGTGGCACACGATGCTTGTTTTCGTGCTCACAAAGTGAACTAGTCGTAATCTCGAAATCAGATAATTGTCAAGTCGTCGTGATACTTGCATGTAATCCGGCATAAAAAAAGAAGCATCATGCGCCATAAATATTTTATGCTATATATTCTATATTACTATATAGTTTATGTAGCGCAAAACACTGTGTGATAGCGCGAAATATTGTGCGTAGCGCAAAACACCTCTTGTATATATATTCCATTTGTATATCACATATTTCTATATTCACAGATTGCATTTACAAAATTGAAAAACATGTATGGTTTTATATCAAAGCTAAACAAAATTGTTAAGAAGTTAATCATAAGTTTTTACATCATAAAGAGAAATTCATTATAATCGTATGTGTATAAGTAAAATTTATGTATCAGCAGTATTTTAAGTATATAAAAATTTATGTATATATATTTATGTATATCTCGATAACTTTTTAACGTATCCTATCGTATTTTAAAGAAATGCTCAAACTATTGTTTAGTCTTAAAAATTTCACATTACTGCGTTTTCTTTTCTAATAAATATTTGACTGGCTATTAGATAAAAAGTTCTGTAGAGAACCGTTTCTTTCTTTAAAAAAGGAAAATCCTGTGATAGTAGCGATCAAATATGTAACTCGGAAAACGCGCTGTGATAAGATTATTCCGTCTTGATTAGTTTTGTAATCGTATGTATAATTAAAGAAGTGAGTCGTTTTCACTACGCTGTCAGAGCGGTTCACAGTTATCAGTAACAACTGTGATTATTGTATACTATATTGTATGTCTTTATACACAAATATTTGTAAACTTAAAAAAGTTATAATAAAAAAAATTTTAAACAATTTAAAATTTTAAACATTTTGACAAAAAAGTTTAAACAAGTAAGTATAAAAAGATGCAAAAACATTATATGTAATAATTATATGGATGCATATTATATGTATAAAAAAAAAATGGAAAAATATATATATTGTTCAAAACCAAAGTTGAAGTTATTTATACATATATATATGCAAATAACATAACTGAGATTCTATTTTAATAGATAATTACAATTAGACACGGTCTGATTAATTTCTACATATATATAAATATATATACGTGTATATGTATATATAAAATCATATGATATTAAAAACTATTATAGATATGTTATAAATGTATAGCAGGTAAGTCTCCGAAATATATTTGTATTTTACGAAGGGTGAGACGTGCAGAAGGATGATACGAGAACGAAGTGTGGAATAACGCGGGGGAGGTGGTTCTCTCGGCATAAGGGTGGTCGCAAACAGAATGGAGGGGCGCTCTCTCACAGTGGAAGGAAGCAAGGGGATGGGGTTGGGTTTCAACCATGATTTCCATTCGCCAGCCATCCATCTTGTTTGAGACTGGAAACTGACAGATAGACGCGGATCCGAGTGCTGGTGACGTGGCAAGTCTTGCATGCTTGTGTGCGTCTGCATGCTGGCCGTGTGAGTGTGCTATGTGCAGCTTTGCGTGCCTTTAAACTTTACGTTCGTGTGAAAAATTTGTTTTCAGCGACACTCGTACAACAAAATTGCTTTTATATCCCGTACTCTGTGTGTAATACATAGTAATATTGCACACGCGGACAAATGGATCTGTTAAGAAAATTTTTAAAGTTTAAAAATATTTTCCAATTGTTTTCTGCATAATGTCGGATTTATTTTGGTTTTACAGCGCGCGATGCAATAACTTGCAATTTGTTCTCATAAGCGCTTTTAAATCGATCTTCGACTACGCTTGCGCGTGAAAAATATGACAGTTGACGCGTCATATCGTTATTATCAATTCGACAGCTGCGCCCAGATCTCGGTTCTATCGCGGTGTAGCTTTCAATTGAAACGCCGTAAAATCTTCTCAACCAAAGCGCCCTTTATACGAGCACCTACGTACATACTCATGTACGGATAAACGTGATCACGCGTGCGTGGAGAACGAGTGAGGTATGAGTACACGTATACCTACATAAGGTAGCTTTCACCCCGCGATCGCCTGTTTCTTCCAATAAATACAATGGACTACGGAATGCCCATGGATCTACAGCGGGATCTATGAGCATTTGAATCTGAATCAGACATTTCTCGCCGTTCGGATTTACCGCGAATGCGATTTCGAGAGATTCCACTTTTATTCCGGATGAATAATGGATGGATAATATCGAAACAGGACGGCCTATTATCGGAAGACGTAAAGATTTCAATATTTTTTAGACGTCTCACACGTCTTTCTTCTTCGTTAGCATTGCAATGATATCTATTAACAGAGTGTGGGAGAAAGAGAAGGAGAAGAAGAGGTACAACACTTTAAACACATGCACGTATATAATAAAAAAAATAATATTGTCTTTTAATTCTTTTTTTTTCAATTTAAAACTAATTTGCTACGTTTCTGCGACACCGATAAAATTGATTTGTGAGAATATTTAAATATTTGCGATTTTTAAAATTGTCATATTGCATTTCTAAACGCTATTACGTCAACAATCAACGTTAGAAGTTTACGAGAGTTATCGAGCGCGCGTTTAGATTCCTTACACTTGCATGTGAGACAAGGTTCGAGTTTCTTTCGGTTAAAACGTAAAAATATTGAAATGGGCGAGGCGAAAGAATGAATAAAGATCAGAGAGGAAAGAAAGAGAAAGACAGAAGCGACAGAAAGAAAGAACGAAAGAGAGAGAGAGAGAGAGAGAGAGGGAGGAGGGAACTCGGGAGAGAGTCGGTGTGCTGCCAGCACGTAAAGCGCAACTTGGTGCCCCGTGAGGAAGTGAGGAGAAGACGCCCCTTCGCGAGGGGCAAGGGAAGAGAGTTTGCTCGTGCACGCAAGTGATATTAGGTAGAAACGCATGAACTTTGATATATTCGTGAGGAGGTTGTAGGAAGAGAGGGTAAAGCAAAGTGGAACGGGGGAAGTAGTCAAAGCGTGGAAGGTGAACGGCGGTCGAGCATGGCGGCACAAGGCGCCATATCGCGGCAAGTATCTGAACCATACGTGACCTGCAACTTTCTGGTAGCATCTTTCCTTGAGAAATCGATCTAGCAAAATGCTCGTCTTTAAAAACTTCTCCCGATTTTAAGACGAGCTTAATACGCAATAAACAGTATTTAATGTTTGTACGATGACGATTAATGAACTTTTCTCGCGTTATTAAAGAGATTATTAATTCTCTTGGTTCAAAATAAAATTAATACTCATGTCTCGATGTGGTTTTATAAAAGAAAGATCCACACTTCGGCTTTCAATACAAATTACAGATCTCTTCATCGTATGCGATCATGTCACTTTTTAGTGATAAGCTGCTGTGTGCAATATAAAAGATTGTTCCTGCAGATCATCGCGCGATGCGCCAACCGACGACGTCGCGAAAACGGCGCGAGAATTCGAGAGACTGTGAGATTCGGTTGGAGGAGGTAGAAGCGGTGGCGACGGAGGCGGCGGAAAGCGGAAAACAACGGAAAATAAAGCAGCGGAAGAATCGCGTCGCAGGAAAAAGAATGAGGGCGCTGTCAGCTGGTGGAAATTATTCTGATTATGCTAATTCCGGTTCTGTTCCACTCCTTTACCCAGGCGTCCCCCAGCTCCATCGCCTCCCTGCTGCTGTCTGCGCCATCTTTCATAGGTGATATTTATAATACAGGGGTTCCCCGAGCAGTTTCAAACTCTTTTTGGCCCCCCTCCGCTTCTGTCCTACGCGCGCGCCCCACCACCCCATTTGGCTTTCCATCGAGTTCTCTCTCTCTCTCTTTCTCTCTTTCTCTCTTTTCTTTCTCTCTCACTCCGATCTCTCACCCTTGCATTTCTTCGCTCACCGACATCCCACCCCACCAGCCACGTACTCTTTCGATAAATTTATTCATATTCCGCTCGAAATCCGTCAGCCTTAAGTCGGTCACGTTATTCTGCACAGTGCACTTAACTGCAGTCAATTTTCTCAGTGTGAGGATACATTCTTAGTTTTCCGATTCGAACTTCCGCGAGATAGTGTTTTCACTCAACGTGGTATAAAAATATCGAATGACTGATTGTTTCCCGCGATTTCTCGGGAGTTTACGTCATGTGTTTGCAAAGAAAATCGCGCATTCGTACATATACGAATTGTGTTCTGCTCTTTTTGTTTTATTTTTTCTAGGCAAAAAATGCGACTTTCTAAACGTCATGCGCTATTGTTACATTTGATTTTGCAACAAACAACAAAAACATTTGTGATCATTGATTACGGAATCGATATATTCAACCTCAATACGAAACCTGCGAATGCACGTGCTCGTAATCTTCTTGGAGAGGTAGTAAGTTTTCCTTTTTAATTAAAGGTGCTTTCTATTCATGCCGCAGACCGCCACGCCCGCCGCAAAAGTTACGGTACGTTATTTCGTACTTCACGAAAAACGTTATTCGCGCAAAGCGGTCTGCGGGTAGTTTCGGCGGCGGGCCGAACTGCTCATCGATTTTGGATAATTACCTTATACATACTAAATATTGCGTATATATACAGAGTGATTCACTTAAATTGCTAACTAATATTAATTTCCTCAACCACTAACTTGAGATAAAATTTGGAAGAACGGTTTTATTTTCTTTTTGAAAAAATTGTTTTGACAAAGAAACACGTTTTTTACTTCTTTGTTTATGTTTTATTTTTTTAAGTGTTTTTCTTGTTATTACATGTAAATATTAGACAAAGATTATTGGAAAAGCAAATATTTCATTTATACGGTTATTTTCAAAAGAATCGTCGCAAAACTCGCGAGAAATTAAAATACTTTATTTTTCAAAAGATTATTTTACCTT